TCCGTGGGTTTTCAGGAAACCAAAACACTTTGTTGACGTTTGTCAGAAGGTGGGCTGTGCAGATGCCATCTCATATTCTCAGATTTCCCTTTCACAAAGTCAACCTGTGTGGTCACTGTCAACCAGGTGTGGTAGTTACTCTAGTTCCTCTTTCTGCGAAGCATGGAGCGAGGAATCTTCGACCGTAGCCATTAATATGACTTGTTCAGGTAATAGTCAAATGTACTTGTCTATCCTTTTTGTCCATTCTCTGTTGTTAATGATGACTTCCATAGTTAGGCTTACAAAGCTAAACTTTTTTTAGTTAGGAAGTGTCATGTTTATTTTTATACAGTCTATAAATTATTATATTTGTTGTTGTAAAAAATGTACGTAATTAACTTAAATTATTAAAGTTGAGCTTTTGTAAAATGTAATAATATTTAGACTAGAAATAGAAAATGAAAGGATAAACAATGAGGCTGGTCTCAAAATGTCCAAAAAAGATGCCGGAAAAGGCGAAGCACTCTCTCTTTTTCACTTCCCGCAGAGTCTGTGAGGCTGGCGAACCTACAATCAATCGACAGATGTTCAGGCAAGGTTGAGGTGAAGTCTGGTCAATCATGGGTTCCAGTGTGTGATTCTTTCTTCAGCCCACAGACTGCCATAGTCACCTGTAGAGAGCTCCAGTGTGGGTTTCCTTTGACTTACCATGGGTTGCACAACAGCGCCCATTTCCAAAATGCAGAACTCGCCTGGAATCCGGTCTTTATGTGTGAAGGCAAAGAGAAGCATCTCATGGATTGTCCCTCCACTAAGATCAATACCACAGAACTAAGACAATGTGGAAACACTCACCTGACCTGCACAGGTAATAATCGAGGCTCTTTTAGCTTAACGGTTTTAGCTGTATTGAGGTGTTTAGTTACCAATTTGCAAAATACAAAATTTTGATAATTTAAATTTTTATGCTTTAGATAATACAAATGTGGGTAGTAATGTCCTTGCAACCCTCAGTGTCTGACATTTCTATGAAATAATTTTTTTCTCCATAATTAATTATTTAAAAGACCAGTGTGAAGGATTTAATGTCATCTAGTGTGTAGTTTCGGATTCCAACTTCCTCGCTTCTCCCTTCCCTTTCAAGTGTGAAGGAGAAACTACGGTGGCTGCAAAAATGCACAAAAACTTGAACCGCCCTATCTAGAGGTTTGGTTTGTCTGATCTGGGCCACTGTAGGACCACGCAGGCACTCTGTAGAAGAGGACCCACCTCCCTCTGTAGATAAAATCCCTCTCATCTAAGATAACAAAAGAACAACTATTCTTATAATCAGGTGATTAACACTAATTAATAACTTATGAATATTATATTCCATTTTTCTGCAATAGATCCTCTGTAGTATGGATAAGCTCAGCGTTATCAATTCTGGTTCGTATCGAGAAATTAAGACATTTGTCTATGAGTTTTCCACTATTCTCAATCCAGAAGAGAAATCTCTCTCTCTCGGAGCCTGTAGTGTGTGCGGGGCAAGCTTCTCTGCCTCTCTCTCTCACAAATCATCTAGCGAAAGTAACATCACATCCCTTATATCAGTGGTATGAGTATATATACAGATGTATCTAGCTCATATACTGCTTTCCTATACTCCATGTTATGGTATTGTCTTAGCACCAGTTATATGTATATATAGTATCTCTATTCGTCCTATGCGATTTGTTTAGCTTATATTTTATGTGTCTGATACAGAGTCATTGCTATTATATCTGTATTGATCCTATCTCGTCTATGTGTAATTTGTTCTATATATTTTTTTTGAGCGGCCCCTATACACTCTTTTTTTTGCAGAAACGTCTCATCTCTCTATATCCTTACATCATCCGTGCAGTCCATGTAATGAATATGGTGTTTTATGTATGTTTTCCCACAGGTTC